GTTTCTTAGCCAGGGATATTTTGAGTATAACTAAGATGAAAAAGAAAAAAAAGAAAATTAGAGAAGAAAAAGAAAAAAACGCCGTTTCTAGTGGTAAACCTTCTTCCTAAAAAAGCTCGTATGCCATAAAATGAATACGGTAAAGATTATGACTAAAATTTTAATATATTTGATTTTATGGCTCATTCGCAGTTTCCTTTCAAGTTATAAATAATGCAGAATTATAATTTACGTCTGTATTCTGCAGTACTGCCATTGTCACAAATGTCACATTCGTTACCCCTTGACAGAATTCATATCTTTGCAGCTGTACAACGTTATTTTTCAGAAATGGCACCTACAGAAATCGTCAACAGGCTTTTTTTCTGGTTGATTTTCTGTCCTTATATCTTTTAGACATTTCTTGGCAATCTTTACCTTTCTGTCACAAAAATAACTTCTTTCTCTACAGAATTCATTACTTGTCAAATACTGGTCAATATATTCTAAATTACATCAACAAAAAACAAAAAAAAGTACACTTAGTAACTTGCTTTTACATCCCTTTTTTTGTTAATTAGTTTTAAGAATAATATTTTTCGCAGAAAATGGAAAAATGGCAAGGGGATTCTTGTACCTCCAGAATCGAGATTTACAATTATTGCGCACCGGCAACAGTGATAAATAATCTTAAACAGATGGATCAAGAGAGAGTAAGAAGATAAAGAACAAGAAGAAAGATTGAAATAATCAAAAGTGAAAAAGAGGTGAAAATGACTAAAATTAAGAGCAATTAAAAGTTTTGATCGACATAAACAAAAAATTATCAAGTTAAAACTTTCCAGAAAAAGGTTAGTGATCGAAACTATACAGCACTAGTGCAGAAGGTGTAACAAGAGAGAAGCAAATTTTTTCTAAGTAAATTTAAAGATTTTGATTAATTCTATCATTAATATTTTGCTATTATTAATAATACGTTGAAGGATTCACCTCACCCAAAGATCAACTGTATTTTTTACACGTCTGTTCCTCTTTCCCTCGTTCTTTTCTTTCTAACCACAAAAATTTGAGTTACATTTCAATATAAGGTACATCAGTAATTGTTCTGCAGCAGTGGGGTGCATTAAAACTCCAGTAATACAGCATGGGTAACTTTTTAAACTCCCAACTGAGTTTAAAACACTCTACTTGATCACGTAAATTATCAGCCGTTAATTTTGCTTTTGGTATTATCTAAACATTCGTCTTATTAAGGCATTAAGATTGAAATGATGAGAATAAAACAAGTTTACTATATACTGGCAGAAAGCGTTCATCGCCAATCTGTTAGTGAAAACCAAATTATCTTCAGTGACAATTTTTTTGAAAACCTCAATCAAAGTCAAAGTTCTAAAAATTGTTTGCAGAAAGTTTTTACGTAAATAGTTACCAGATCTCACTCTTTGCAAGCTACAATACTAAGGTGTTTGAAAACTGCTGTTAATAAAATAATCTTCATTTTTTACAAGTTTCACTCTCTTTCAAGGTTCTAGTGGGGATGCGAATCTGTTAAGTCTAACCTTAGTCGGTCCGATAATATGAAACTAAAAACTGCTTTTTTGTAATTACTCAATGCTCTTGCCAACCACTGTAAACTTCTTATCGCTGCATTTTTATAAGGCACATTCTCAAAGATAAAGCGTTTCCACTTCATCAACACATAATTAACCATCATAGAGTTAAAATATCTGTTTGTTTCTAGTTTCACACAGTTAATTATTGTCTCATTATACCAGTTATATTGCAGGCATACTAACGACGCTACAAACCGAAAGGCCGAAAGAATCTGGAGTTACCAGATGTATTTTATAGTCGAAGAATATAAAGTGCTTACTGTACCACGACAATTTTCTTTCGTAAAGTCAAAAACTTTCTTTTATCGCAAAACCATTACAGTTGCTCAAAACGTTAAAGTTTCTGTTTTTCCCACTAGTATAACGGTTCAGCCGATTTAATAAATTTTTCATTAAAGTCTCCACTTCTTGTTGTTGTTGTCATTTTGCCAATAATTTTTTCAAATTTTTTTGTAATGATACCTTCTGTTTTACTTGCCGTGTTCTCTCATACTTCATTTGAGTGTGGTAAAAATTATATTCAAAAATTTGAAATGTAGTTTTCAATATTATCAAAATTTCTTCAACAACTTCGCCATTCGCAAAGTAAAAGATCTAGCTTTATTCAAACCAAAATTATTTCATTTTAAACTCAAAAATTTTTTCTAAATTTTGGTCAAAGATAGGTGTTGAAAGTGTTTTCCACTGATAAGTTTTTAAGATAGACTTTCTTCAATTTAACTAGATCAGTTTTTTGATTCTCTTAGAAAACTCTCTTTTGTAAACACAGAAGATAAGCCAGGAAGTCTCCCGCAAAATATAAACAACTTTTAAAAAAAAAAA